ACTGATCATAGTGGTAAATGTGTTTTTTATACAAGTGTAACGCGACTATCGACTTTCTTTTTATTATCTTCGCATAAATTTCGGACCAAATGTTAACTTCTCTGCCTCTTTTCCGCTTCTCTGTCTGCTTTGATTTCTGTATTTGTGGTGACTAGCCGTTTATATACCTACAACAATACCATCATACTAATAAAAAATGTTCCAAAACCCACTCGTGGGTATTGCCGCGTAACACAAAGTATTGAAACGATGCATCGTCATCGAAAGCACACAAAATGTCGAATCTGCATATTGAAGTACGTCCACGTCCAGAGAAAGAGAGGGGTTAAATAAGTAAAATAAAGTTTCAAAGAACTTACCACACATAAGAAAGTTGGCTATGAGCAGTCTGTGCAGTCCCTGCGCATGTCCACATAATTTTTACCATGTGCGAGATGATTGCCTTTACTAGAAGCATCTGTGGTTAAAATTTCAAAGAAATATCTCCATAAATAAGAATGTTGGCATTGCGCAGTCACTGCGCATGCCCACATAATTTTTACCATATGCGAAATGTTTGCCTTTACTAGAAGCATCTGTGGTTAAAATTTCAAAGAAATATCTCCATAAATAAGAATGTTGGAATTGCGCAGTCACTGCGCATGCCCACATAATTTTTACCATATGCGAAATGTTTGCCTTTACTAGAAGCATCTGTGGTTAAAATTTCAAAGAAATATCTCCATAAATATGAAAGTTGGCATTGCGCAAAATATGGAGTTAAATGAAACTGATCGAAATGGGCAAATATAGACCATAACAGCTATCAATTAGCGAAAACCCGAAGTCTCTAGGTGGCCCAGGGGCCGAGATCTCGATGGAACGGACGGACGGACGGACGGACGGACGGACGGACGGACGGACGGAAACACGAGCACATAAGCTTTACCTCAACTTCGTTGTGTTACGCTAAAAATTACTGTTTACTATGGACGAGTGAAAACTTACGTTTCGTGCTTGGGAAACAATATAATATATTATAGTAGGGGAGCTAGCTCGAAATCCACTGAACGAGAATGATTCATTCATTACAAAAACGAGATCCGTGCAAGTGATTTTTTGAAAGACACAATATTAAAACCATTTATGCTCTATATGTGCTAGAGTGTCTGTGTTTCATTTTCAGAAATAAATTTCAATTTTCACGAAATTCCGATGACCACCCATATGATATAACACTAGATTTGAAAACAACTTCTTTTTATCCATATCAAAAAATAGAGTACCTACAATGATACCCAATCTTGCATGTTTCAAGGATTCTACAGACATTCTACAAGAAAAATTTTTTTCCGGGTCGATCTGAGACAAATTTTTTTTTTCCGCAAACGTAAAAAAATGACGACTTTATTAACGTCAGTTCTTAATGTTGAAGTTTGATTTCACAGACTTCACTTTTTTCTCCGGCCGTGAGCGTACAAAAAAGTACTTTTTTCTACGCTCACGGCCGGAGAAAAAAGTGACATGACAGAAAGTAAACATCATCAGGTAGTTGAATTTTGGAAATTTATTAGCGATAATTACATATTAATTGTGATATTACAATTATTTAAACTTGCACCGCACAAATTTAACACACTTCCTGATTTATTGACTTCTAATTCAATACCATTTTGTGTAGAGTTGAATGAGTTAGCCAATAACATTTCCTTTGACTTCTTACTCGTTTCAACATCTGTTAAATCAACGTCCACCGAATTTGGCTCATCAGAAGCTGCATTCAGGCCCAATGACGAAGAATTTGGAATTAAGATTAAGCTAGTAGCACATTTCCAGAATAGTTTGTAATGTTTTTCTCATTGCACCATGTGAGAAATCTTTCATAAGCATGATTATAATCTCTACTTGACTTCGTTGGAATTAAATCGTTCGTAGCTGTCTTGGCAATTGCAAGAACGTCTGACGGCGTACAGTTAAGTTCGGAATCCGACATAATATGTAACGTGCAAGAAAAATTGGTCAATATCTTTTACTACTTTACTCGATACTCGGGTACTTACCAAAAACGCACAGTTCAAATTGGCTTTGAATGTTCCTGATAATTAATTTGTTGAATTGTCAAAATTTTCTTTCACCATAACAACCGCAACCCACAGCAATCTAGTTTTAAATTTTTCAACATTTAACAGCTGATGCGCTGCAATCTTTTTGGGAATACTCCCTTAATTCTATCGTTTGAACAGCGTTTGCGGAAAAAATTTTATGTTTTATTCGGAGCAAAAGCACTTTTTGTGGCGCGTCTGAAATTGTCGGCCTCACTACGTTCGGCCGTCAAACGTTCAGACTTGCCACAAAAAGTTACACTTTTACTCCTTATAAAACAATATACTATTTCTTATTAATTTTGGTGCGTAGAATCCAAAACAATTCGTACTTTTTCGATCAGACTTCTCAATCAAAAGTTAGAGACTAGAAACCAATTTCGAAAGAAAATTCAAAGGGCGGTAACTTTTGAACTAGTAGCCCAATCTTGGAACTGTTTGAAATTATGGATTCTACAGGCCACATTCTATAAGAAAATGTTTTTTCCGGGTCGATCTCAGACAATTTTTTTTCCGGCTTCAGAAAAAGGCAGTACTGTTAAGTTATTCAAATATTTGACAACAATTTAGAAATGTTTAGGGAAAGTTTCCATTGTCACAAAATCAAATATAAAAATCCGATACATCTGAATACCGAACTCGATAGTCTACGTAACTTAAAAACAATAGGGACCTTTCTTATATCCATATATAACCATATGTACCAATTTTCAAAGCGATCGCACGTTATCATGCACACGGACAAACGGATGGTCAAAAATGGATCTGTTCCAAAATCGCTAGGATTAATTTCAGAAAGGCGTACTTATCATGTGCACGACGTACGATCGCTTTGAAAATTGGTACCTATATAATAATATAATAATAATAATACGCTTTTACTCCCCTTAAATTTGTATATAACAATAGAAATATAAAAAAAGCTAACCCCATACAAAGTATAACTTGATTTTTTTAAGTAGTATTAAGCCTTTTATCTAGTATATTATTTTAAATTTTTAATGTATTTGAGTGACAAGTATTCGAATACTTTTCAAAGTAAGATAATGAAATACTTTTTATAGTATTCGAATACATTCTAAAGTATTTGAGTACTAATTTTTTTAAGTATTTGAATACTTTTCAATGTATCTGTATCTAGTATTCGCTTGTGCTGGACGTAAAAGTATTTAGTATTCAAATACCTTTGATTTGTGTAAAGTATTTACTATTTAGTATTCAAATACTTTTTGAAAGTATTCTGCCCAGCTCTGCTAGGAGGAAATAACTTTGAATTTTTAGTACACCGCTTTGAATTAATTTGAATTAACGTGAATAAATGTGAATTAATGTGAATTAATTTGAATGAACGTGAATTAACGTGAATTAGTTTGAATTAACGTGAATTGATTTGAATTTGAATTTTTGATGTACACCAAAAATTTTACTTGTTTCCCCCTAATTCGTGGCTCACCATTGGGACCTCCGTAACCGTGATAGATACACTGTATAGGTAAATGGGGGAAAAAATGGCCCCTTTTTGCGAAAAACTGAGAACGTCAATTTCGTGTTGAATTTCTGTTTTTACCCGAAAAGGTCACATGCAATCTAAGTTTAGCACCCCTAATGGAGCCGATCGGCCCGTAATCTGGCACTGCTGGGGTGTGCAAACGAAAAATCGAAGTAGATATAGTTAGACTTGGATAGTCAAACGTGTGCCGCACTTAGATCGGGATGTAAAATCTACGATAAACACGCAAAGATGACCGAGGATAAACTCCCTGGACTAGAAGCTCCGACCTATGCCCATGGTGTACTCCAGAACTGCAGGAGCGATCAGTGAACTTGCTGATAAATGTAAAGACCACAAAAAATCAAAGAAAGTACACCTGGCGAACTTAATGTCAAGGATTACCTCCTACAAAGAGCGTCGTTGGCAATCTGAGGTAAAGAAAGGTCATCAGATTTCATCAAATTCTTACGGTTCGACGAATAGAATTTGCAAGGCTATTCTGAATAATAGACCCGAGCAAACGCATTGGATTACAGAGCAGAGAGCTCTAAAGCGATCTAATGGAAGTATCATGTAAAACTCATCCTAATTTCGATTAGGTGTACTAACATTTAAATGCAAGACCTATTACGTAATTGCCGCCGAGTGTGAAACCTTCAAAGTTGGCTCTAATCGAGTTCGTTGTCGTTAAAATTCCCAAAGTGTTTTCTATAATTGAATATAACTATCGATTAACCCTTTCGTTACATTCAGTCAAGTCATAAGCGTGTAGGTAACCTATATAAACTTTTACTGAAAGAAGTTAAAGGGCACGAGAGTATATGTACCTTGAAAAAACCTTTTAAGCTGAAATTAGATGCAAAGCAAGCTGCTGTTCAATTAAGACAGGGCGTGCTATTCTATTCTCTTGACAGTTCTAATTCGCCCTATGTGACTTCTAGTTGTCTAAAGCACTTAAGGGAAACGGGAATTCAAATCGAACAAAGGCACTGTAAACCGCATTATTTTATTTTACACCGTTATATTTGCTACTTAACCTCAGCCTGGTTCCCCGTTATTAGTAATCTCGTAACACGCAAAAATGGGAAAGTTTACTATGGAACTTCGCGTATTTTATCCATCCTACCTGTTGAAGGGAATGTTGAAACAAAGGCAAATTGAGTGTCGAAATGAAATTTAGCTTGGAAACATTCAATCTAATTATAAAAACAGTTAAGCGAACGAAATGGAGTGTGTAATTTATTGCTAACAGTGTGATTGTGCCCTGTTTAAAAATTTGAATGTAATTCCGGAGCTTGTCAAATTTATACACGCAACAGGTAACCTACTACAAGGGAAACATAAAGGAAGGTGGAAGTTTCAGTTCTCGCGAAAAACAAAAATGGTCGCTTCGGTAACAATAACCTTATTTTATAAATCCAATTATCTCACCTGGTATTATCTTCATCTACAAATAAAACGACGGTGCGTGCTTGGGGTTTTTGGATCAGCTTTTCAATAATTCGGTCGAAGTCTTCCACGCGAGAATTCCTCAATACCTTTTCAGACGTAGCTATACAAATTCCCACATCCGCTGAATACGATATGAACGATGCAATGCCCTGCGAAATAAAAACATTACGATAAACTCTTTTCAGATATAATATCATATTAACTGAATACCAAGTTTGGAAAAGCGTAGTTTTCCGATGTTTGCGTTTTAATCTCTTACAGACTTGCAAAACGTAAATCCGAAAATTGACCGATGTAAATTGTAGGTACCTATTTGTCATATACGTTTGTATACATAAAGCAATTGAGTGTAGCCAATTTGCGTTTGCAGATCCACGTTTAAACTCGATTTAATTACAAATCGTTGTATATCCATCATGTGAGTATTAATGGTCCATAAATTTGCAAAAATTAAGCTCCTCATTTGGAAGTAAAATCAATTTTTGTATATATCGACGCGTGTTACGACCCTAAATATTGTTTGCGGAAATCTAAACAACTGAAACATTTATTTTTAGGCCGCTAATATCCTTTCAATAACCCCAATTTCACCTTTTTTTGTATACAAGTTAATATTTGTATCAAAAGATGATGGATCGGTTTTATTTTTGTATACTACCGATATTAATTGTCTCTTTTTCTTCGTATACTCCTTTCGGAAAGCTAAACGACCGCGAGCTGAAAAATTGAATGCATCTGCCCACAAAGGAAATAAGATAAATAATTTCGCAATTCGGTTTTGCTTAAATTAGAGAACGCAATCTGGAGTGGAAGGGTAATCGATAACGAATAATACAGGTAAATCTTTTTTTTCGCATTTAGACTTTAGTATTTATAAGGTTGCACCAATCGAAGGGGAGACGGGTCACTACAAACGTTATAAATTGGAAGCGGAGTTGGCGAAATCAATGAAAAAATACACGAAAAAGGTAAACTCCCAGTAAATTGTGGTACGTAAAGTGAACACGACACGGGCATTGTTTTGTTCCAGATTTGTGTCATAATCGGCTGGTTTCAAAATTAATGCATTTTTGCTGCGAATTCACTTTTACACTGAGTGAAATAGCTCACACCATAAGAAAAACGTTTACTAAAAATGAAATCCACTAAAGTTTCCCAAGACGAAGGCAAATTAAAAATCTCTTTCGGCACGGCCGATCAGGTGTAGGTAGATTTCTTTTCGCCATGGTGTTCCAATATCGCGAAATTGGCTGATTCACGAACTTGACCAAGATGATTATGAGTTACACGAACCCTTAAAGTTCGGTCGAAATCGCGAGATAGATTGAGCTAGCCGTCAGAGAGAGAATAGTTAATTTAATTCACGAATCTACGAAGGCGTGCTTGAAGGGCCATAAGTATTTTATTGTATAATTCTGAGTTTTAAGTCGAAATTCCGAACTCACAGTCGGAATTCCGGGTGGAATTCCGACTTTAAAATCGGAATTTGAATGTAAGTGCGGGATAATACGAGTTAGTTATGATAAAGTCAAGTTTACTACCCAAATTTCTGCATCTCTCTTATTTATACAGAGTGATGATTAGACTTAAACGGGAACCGGTAAAAAGTGTAAAGACGATTAATTAGTGTTTATGTTAGCGGCTAAAATCGCAAGTATACAAGGGTAAAATTGACAACAACCATCGGCATCGTTGCGCTTTTTTTTATTTCAACAAAACTTTACATTTCGGATTTCTCTCGTGTTATTCGTGTCATGCACTATTTTCACAATAACATTCTAATATGAATTTTACCACAAAGTTCGGGAAAACCATCAACTGGTATCTCAGTTTTTACCGCTACGATCATTAGGATATCGCCGAAGATTAGGGATCGCGGTCAAAATGAAATGTGACAACCATTTACCTTACAGAACAAAAGAATCCGGGGATTATGGGAAATCGACACTGTGCCAACCGAAGCCAACGTCAATTTAAACGTTCATTGAGAACACGTCGTAATCTAATTCCAATTAGCGAAAACAGGGACCCCGGTGATGGATTTGTTTATTCTAATTTTCGGTCGCTATTATTATAATAAATGATCCTGCCTGCTACAACCTCATTATGCATTGTTTGTTCTATATCGGTGAAACGCTACTGCTGTTATTATACCAATAGTCTAGACTGACATTACACGACTAAGTTCACCATAACATTATAATAATGCCTCATAAACCATTCTAATCTATTGCAATTGCCAAAATGCTTCTGGGAAAATAAAAGTGAAACGATACCAGCTAAAATAGAAGGATCGTGGAAAACGCAAGCAACTTCAACAATTTCTGGGTTATTAATATTCTTTTGCAAACCTTTGCTATTGTTTTAGGCCTTTTAGCAGCCCTTTTCCCCTATATCCGACCCTGTTAGCTAACTAAACATGTGTATACGATCGTCTGCACATCTATTTCATCACTTTCCCTTTAAGAATTGATTATCTGTTATACGCACATACAAAAGAAAAATTGGAATAGCGGTAATTCAGGTAATACATCAATAACGATTTATGGCAAACGCAATTTATCAATATTTGCCCTTACACGAGCTTATGCGGGGGCATGTCGTTTAAAAATGTAGAAATCGACATAGAAAACACGACCGGAAAGCAACTCGAAATGAAAATTAAATTAATTTAATATTAGAATACTGTTTTGCCAATACGAATAACGAGAATACATTAAAACGGAACAGAGACAAATTATATTAAAGCATTCTAATGTTCCGTATCGGCACAGCCATTTTATCTTCTCCGAGTTCATACATTCTTTTTCAGGTGTATACACCTCATTAGTTTACATTTTAGCTCTAATTCGTTGTCTTAGAATTTTAAAATTATAGGACAGGATTTAGTTACATTTACAGGGGTTAAAACCCCACTTGTAGAAATTGAATTTTAATTTCTGCTGTAACAATTAATTTCATGCAATTAAGTAATTCGTACCACGACTAGTTCAGTAATGAATAAGCTTTTAATGATTCTCACCTTGGGGGAGCCTAGTTCTTTATCTCCACTTTTAACCTGAAAATTAAAAGCTGATGCTCTGGTTCGATCACTCTCAAATAAATACTCATGTAAATTGGGTTATTTCATATTGGAGGCTGCGACAGGGTAGTAAAGAATATTGAAGGGACGACTCATAAGTGTCTGTTAGCGCGAACCGTCGCCGGCCATTTGACAACGCCCGCCGTCGACGTGACGGAACGAAACGGACAAATGTGCGGCAACCTTAAAACGGGCAAAAAAATTGGCATTAGTTTCTGACGAAGGAATTTATCCCGTATATGAAATTATCCAAAGGGTTAATATTAGCCAGACTTGCTCACTGCACGTCTCGTGTTTGGGTTGGGTATTAAAACTGTATAGACTATTAGCTCTAGTTCCCTAGAAGTTAATTATGTCATCAAACCGAATAAAACACGGCATTGTATAGATTGGTTGATAGAATTGATCACGCCTCCCTTACTAGAAGTCAATTTCTGCCGTTTTATTTATTATTATAGCATTCGAATTTGCGATAAAGGGTTGCATTCGGAAGTTCAATTGTATATTGAATTTGAAGGCATAAATAACTAATTCCGGGAACTTCCAGAAATATTATATTGGTTTGTGCTCTCAATCGAGAAATTCGTTGTCAATGGCAGATGAGAGGTGGAATAAAGCAAGGAAAAATATTGCAATATACGGCTATGTGTGCGTCTTTTGTAGAATGGCGTGAAAAAGTCGGTATCATTTTATTGGATTGCCTATACATGATTGTATTCGATACAAATTACCGACACCCGGTTATCCGGAAACCACGTCTTGTTTTTTTTTCGTGGCCCTGACTCACACCGTCATTTCGACTTTACTGAAAATGAAACTTTTCTATATGTGTGGAAATTTATTGCTCAAGGTTGCAAAAAGTGTAGATATTCAGATGCCTTTAGGTCAAAAAACTAAAATAATTACGATCTCGAGTGTTACCTTCGCGAAATTAAAGCAGGTTCGATTGGATTCATGCAAATTTTTTTTCCACTAAACCTTAGATTCATCACGTAGAGAACGTTGCCAGGGTGGTGCAACAAGTCAACTATACCATCGAAGCGATTTGTCTCCATATTTCTAAAGGAAGCGGCATTTTCCAAAGAAAGATAAGAACAATTTGTTACCCAAAGAGAATATTACCCACATCAATAACTGTTTTTTTGATTTGTATAAAATAGTGGCCGGTTACTTTTAGGTATTGGTGTAAGGAAGTAATTTTAATATTCCTAACGGAATCGACTTCTGAGGATTACTAGTACGAAACAGATTTGCATTGCGTGTTGATTATTTTGTTTCATTTATTGGAAAATTTGTATTTAATTTCAGTGGCGATAAGAGCTTTCCAATACTATTTGTTACCATCTAATGGCAATATCTTTGTTTTTACTTTTTAAATGTTTCATTGGCCTTCATTCCTCAGAGGTGGGATTAAATCTTTTATTATTGTACTAAATGGAATCACATGGGACTTCCATGTTAAGTGTTAATTTCTTATTTTTAAATAAAGGTGTAATGGAATCGATTTCCACTCCCATATTTTTGCGCGAAATGAAGTGTGGTCCAACCAGTATAAGGAGAAAGTAGCTTCTGGTTTGTGGTTTAAAGCATCGTTTGAACGAAGTAGAATAAACGCGTTTAACTAAATCAAATTCCACAGTGTAGGTTACGTTGGTGGTGAGTAAGTTTATATAATCAACATAGAAATGTTGTCAAAAGACCTTACGAAAACTTAAGGAAACCTTAGGACACCAAGACGATAATTAAATTACTATACCGCAAGGATCAGATATTTACATATATCTGACAGTAAAAGAGAGTTGTAAAGTTAGAGGTGCTGCTACACGAAGAGCATCAAAAGTGGTTGCTTGTAAACTGACACGCGAAGTGCGAAAACGAATTCCCATTTTCCTCGTCATAAATAATTTTCACTAAATATTTAACTTGTTTATTCTGAATTTTTGAGAGCAATTTACAAAAGCCTTTAATTTCCATGCAACTTATTACAGCCGACATGTCCACATTTAAATGTAAATGAAAACGTAAAACTTTCCAATGAAGCAGTTGAAACGGTCAACTCGCGCTAAT